AGGGCAGAGGTCTGTTATTTAATGCAATGTTAACCTGCTTATTATCTAAAATAAGGAACTCATCTTCTCTGCTTTACCTCAGTTAACAATGACATAGATTATATGATATTCATACCCTGTCTGGTGCAGAGACTTCAACTGATGACTGAGCCTTTTTCAGTCATGCATTTTGGAGCATTATAATGCTGTATTCATTCAAAGCACCGACCAGGATCTCACAGGGAAAGTATGTGCGGGCCGGTTGCAGCGGTTTGTTTTCAGAACAGTGTAACTCCAATGGAACGCGGCTGCAATGCTGAGCAGCATACCACCCTGTTTCGCCCCTAATGAACATCAATCAAAGGTGCATTTTTACAGCGTTACAGACCACCAAGTGTATACGTGCAAGGCAAAGCAGTCAAAGACAACTTATTTCTGGACTGGAAAATATTTCCTTTGCCACCGTCTGGTGGAGGAAAACGTTTCAGGAAAAAAAAAATCAAACCAGGAAAGAGTAGCCTGTAGAAAAGAATGTCAGGCATGTAACCAGTGGCTGGGCAGATTTTCTGGGCAGGGTGACATCCTGACTGCTGCTTGGTCTTCCTCTCCTAACTGCCAGACCCTTATGTTTGTTAACTGGATGCCGACATTCCCTGGACGGCTCCTCCAGCAAAGATCAGGGTGGCTGGAATTCTTGTCTGGCAGACACGTGGCACAAGAGTGTCTCAAAGTGGACACGGCAGCAACTGAACAGATAAAGAAAGTTGTGTGGACTGTTTATTGTCAGGACCCTGCTGCCATGATTACAGGGGTTTTTAAGAGAAAACATTGTGTTGCTATGCAGAAGCACTTTGTAGGATATTGAACACAAGCATGTAGAATGACAAAGAACTGAAACAAGTCTACAGCACCATAGCAGCTCTGTGAGACTGTACTTCCAACACAGCAGTGCTTTGAGCTAACATTAGCATGTTGCTGATGTTAAACAAGGATAATGTTTAGCATGTTCACCCTCTTGGTCTAGCATGTTTGCATGCTGACATTTGCTAATTACCACTAAACAGAAAGCACTAAACAGGTATTTGGTCGTAGACTGACGTTTTGAACAAATGAAAAATTTGACCTGATGCATCAGAGGAAAAGTCAAGAGATCATCAAAGTGACTATAATTCATCCTGAGGGGAATATGAATGTCTGAACCATTTGGGATCACTAAAGTGATATTTTACAGATATTTGTGCAAATGCATCTAATAGATGTGGAGATATTTCTCTGGATAAGTGAAAACTTTGACCTGCTGGTGAAGGCAGAAGAGAGGTCAGGCAGTCTTGGAGGATTCATCCTCATCCTCAAAAGAGCAGCCCACCACTTCAGCAGTGAAGCATCCTATCATCTTTTTTTTTTTATTCCACATGTTCTTTTTCCTTGTCAACTCCTGGCACCTACATTACCCACAATGCAACTAGACTGCTAACAGTTCAGTCCAAGATTGAAAGTGTGTAATGCTATTAGTGGCTAGCCTCAAGCAGAGATGCGGAGCGGGCTAACATCACAGGCTCAGATTTTTTATCTGATTTTCTGCAGCTGCCTCTGTGTCCAAAAAAGGTTTGAAACCACTTCACATATGCCGTAGTATTCCTCAAGACCTGTACAGAATTTGATGTGTAAAATCAGCGCACTTCCCTTTCAAGACATTTCACAAAAAAAAAAAAACAAAAAGGAAGAAAAAAGAGAAATCAGAGCATCACCAAAATCTGCAGGGTTCATCCTCTTGCGACCATTAATGTCTGTGCAAAACTTCATGTTTATCCATCCAATAGTCGTGGAGATTTGGTCGTCGTGCTGGACCTATAAGTAAGCAGTAGACCGGCCTGCTGACGTATCCATCCCCAGAGACATGACGCTAGCCTGGATAAAAACAATATATACACATAACCTTGCATGCAATTCCCTCCGCAGACAGAGGTGAAGACAGCACCTGGCAGGCAGTTCTGTGAGAATCCTACCCATGGAAACAGGATCTGCAGTGACCTAGTTGTTGAGTGGGTTGATAATATGTCACAAAGAGGCAATGGGTGGGGGGGGGGGGGGGGTAATTGCACATCTGAACCTGCAGTAATAATTCATCCACACTAATGGTTTTGTGTAGGCTCGATGTTGGCACGGGGTTAACATTCTGTTTTCTTCCCATAAAGCATCACACGGGAAACGTCCCTGTGCTAATAAACTACAGAACATTTATATTATTAATCTAATGCATGTGGTTCATGTTGTAAATATTTTTTCAGGTGAACATGAAAAAGGTTGAATTCAGTGGCTGAAGAAGCCCCAGCGGCACACTAGTGATACTTTCTAAGCCCTGTGGCAAAAAGTTAATGAGACTATTAGTCCTACTTCAAAGCCAACATGTGTCTACATTATAGCTGTGCAGATAGCACAGCTAATCTCAAGTGGTATTTGCATGCATCTAGGGCACTCAGAGGCCACCCAGTGCACACAGATCCTGGTTTGAATTTCCAGAATCGGAGGTCCATGTCCATAAATAACATTGAGAACATAAATCTCTGCGAGTCAAAGATTTATTTCTATAAGCAACACAAACTACATCATAGATCCTGGGAAGAGAAGAAAGCTTCTGAAGATATTGTACATGAGAAAAAGAATACATTCAGATCTGTCTCTCGCAGATCAAACAGGTTTTTTCTTCTGCTTCTAAAGAAATTCAAAGCGTAGCATGTGTGGCATGAGAGAAACACACAGCTTCACGTGCAGACATATGAGCTATTTCCATCTGCATTAACATATGGCTACAGATGGAACCTGCACCCACGAAAAAAAAAAAAACATAAACCATACAAAACCAGTGCCGGCTTGCTGTTCATGGATGCAAGCCATCAGAACTGGTGATCAAATGAGTATTAACCACATTACTTCCTGCACAAGGAACAGCCACTCCCGCCTCTGCCCCGTAGCTAACCAACATGAGTAGGAGTGTGTATGTGTGTGTGTCTGTGTGTGTGTGCGTGCGTGATGAGGAGGGTGGTGCGGGGGGGAGGAGTGGGAGGAAGATTTGGAAGGAAGGAGCTGGTTGTTCAGGAAGCGGACGTAGTGCAGCAGAGCAGAAGGAAGGAAGATGCCCATATATGAGCAGATACTTATGAAACAGGATGGAGGACATGCCTGAAGAGGCCTGAGATCTCCCCCGGGTGCAACAATAATGCAGTAAATGTGTAAACCTCCTCCTACATGTATAAACACACATCCCGGCACTGAGAAGCTCAAGTTGCAGCAAGCCCAAACTTTCATTCAACCTGACACCTACACCCCGGTCTAGTGTATTCAGTAAACATCCTTACCCGAAACCTTGTTGTTATGTAATGATCAATACAATCAGGTGTTCAAAATGCAAGCAGGGGTTGGGATGATTTATAATTTCCCACAAATAACCAGTGGTATCAGTGCTGAATCCATTAAGAGGAAGCAGGTTTCTGTTTCTGCCAACTGTGCACAATAGACAGAGGCCCTGGAGCTGATTAGCAACACACCTGCACACTGGCAAAAAAGAGCCTTTGTTTAACACCTGCATGTCGACTGGGTCACTTTTTTCCCCTCTCATAATATGTGTGTGTTTAGGAAGTTACATCTATTGGTATTTTCCCTTTTTCTGAGCTAGAGCTAATTTTAAAAAGTTTTATGTCCTGTTCTTTCCGTTGAGTTGAGGGACTGCCCCACAAACGACATTGTACTTAACTTAATTCAAAACTACCTTGTGCTGATATTGGTCAATGTTTCTTTCTCTGGGTGCCATTAGACATCCACTGTCCTGCCTCATTTCTCCCTACGGAGGGGAAGTTTGAGTTTTATTGTGTTGCACTCACATATGTGCAGAATATTTCCTGCGTGAAAAACCTTTTAATGCACTGCGATGATGAGCCTTTAAGCAACATATGCCACCACACATGAATGTCCATCACATGTGAAAATACAGATAAAAATAGAAAAAAGGAGTGCAGCAGGTGTACATGCTAAAGTTATAAAAAAAACTGATGACTCCCTGATTCACAGTGATTCAATAGCAAAAGCAAATAAACAAAGAAAGAGGGTTTTAGCTAACTGATTTTTTTTTTCAAGCATTATACAGTATAGTAGGAAGAGCACTACAATGATGACTGCTTTTCTTACAGCTGAGTGGAATAGACTGCACAATGCTGCCATCATGTGGAGTAAATTTATTACTACAAGGCGTTAGCTGCTTAGAGGATATGTTCACATTTTTAATGCAGTACTGCTATACCCACATGTACACTGAAATAGTTACTGGATGCTGTAATCATTCCTCCTGTTTACGATGGCTGGAAACAAAATGTCTTTCTAATGTAATTCCACTGTAAGTGGTTGGGGAAAATCTCCATACAGAGCTTCGTTTTAGGCTTTAGCAGTCTGAGTCAGACAAATGAAGTATGCATCTTCCAAAGTTAAAGAAAGTGAGATGATCCCTGTTTCTGTTGAGCCACAGGAGAGGCACGGCAACAGAAAGAGTGGAATTCGTAATAAAACTACTGTGACTGTCAGAGTTTCCCACCTGACTCAACAGACGACCACTACTGAAGCCTCATGTTAGCTATGGTGAACTTTCAAATGACATCATTCAACCTCTACACGTGACCGGACTTCATGTGTAAAGTCTGTGGTATTCCCCTCAGCAAGCGATGATACCACGGGACACATTTTAGAATAAGAAAAAAAAACATATTCAAACTGCTACAGCCTGCTCGCCGCCATTTACAACAGCACTGTAAACTCTGTTTTTATCACCAGAGGGCAGCACCTCACAGCACAGGCCGTTCATAGTGTGACTGCAGATATGAAAGACTTATGGAGACTGGGTCAGATTAATAATGGATAGACTGGTGTAGCAATGTTTGTAATCTAATCCTTCTCTCAATTACAGTAGAGGCTGGGGACGCTGGTGGCAACAGCTGACTCGAACGAGAGACACGGTCTACAACAGAGACACTGACCTGTGTGGGAAAAGGTCTCGAGGAGCATGTATTGGGTGTCCCAGTCTCTGTGATCAGCATAAATCTGGAAAAGAAAGAAAAGTGAATGTGTTAGAATTTGTCACTTAGCTATGACAGCAAACCAACCAGTGAAACTAAATGGGTTTCCAACACCAGAGAGTTGGAAGTGAGCATAAGGTGGAAAACATCAACGTTCAAGACAATGGCAAACAGTTAAACCTCATCAGACACACTGACAAGATTTGTAGGAAACTGTTTATCCATCAGTCTTCTCAGCAGACCGTGAGACCATAAGCTCCCACAGTGCGATGAATGCCAGTCCACTGACACCACTTGCCTCATCACTTAGGGAAAAACGTTGAGTGCTGGCAGGCCGAGTCGCTTGTGGGCGGAGATACTCGAGCCTCTACTCTATTTGCATTCATTACCACATTCCAGTGAAACCAGTTATATGGCCAGTCCTTTGGTGTGAGAACTCTCTGTGTGTCTTTGCACTCTCCATCACAACAAGTAGGGGTGGGGCTTGGTAGTGTGTGGTGTGAACTGGAGAGTAGACAGTCCCAAATACTGCTCACACTTCTCTCTGTTTGCTTTCAGCACTCACATTTCTCCCTCGTTTAAAGGCTTAGTCCATCATACGCATATCTTAAACATAAAAATGAGAATTTACTTGAGGAAATTGCCCTGCAAAATAATAATAATGATGATAATTATCAATGGATTTTACGAAGGAGACTTTCTTGATCTCAGGGTCAGGAAACTACGCGAAGATGCTTACATATGCCAACTGGCAATGCTTTATACAGTATGCTCACATTTATTAAAGTAGCAATAATACAATATTGGCCACTTGAGGCAGAGAACGAAGCTATACAATAATATTAACCTATTATCACCTTATAAAGTTGTTACAGAGAAGACGTTAGCAGTAGGCAGTGATAAATCTCTGTGTGTTTGTGACTATGGATGACACCTTTCACATTAGAGGTATCATTTGATCCATTGTTTATATAATAAATATGGTTTAGTGCATATTTAAGTAGCATTTGTGCTTTTCCAATGATTCATTAAAAGCACAGTTTGGGATTGAAAACAAAAGCTTTACCGGAGTCCAAGTCTAAGATATGAACCTTTCACTGCTACCATTCAATTATGACACTGCCACAGGTTTGTTTACAGCAGGCATGTTTGTGAACACAGGACTAAAACAGCCCGTCTTCATTGAATTATGATAAAACATAAAAAAAAACAAAGTGAATATAACAAAATAAAACAGTTTAGGGTGAACCACAGCTTTGCTTGAGTCAGTGTGTCGAGTGAATCTCTGAGTTATTTCAGCCTATAGCAAAGCAGTCCAAGTTATATGACACAGAAATACAACATATTATCACAGTAGGAAGAACCGTTCATGTGTTAAACTAACACCCAGAGCTCTGTTATTGTACAATACTGAAACCAAAGATGTTTTACCTGCTGTGTTCCAGTTGCTAAGCAACCTCTTCCCTCCATGTAATTTACTGTGCTGTCCAGTATCAGTGCAGGGTGGTGGAGAATTGTTGTATGTCAGTATAAGAAAAATAATGTAGCCTAACGGGAATTACCATATAATGAAATCAATATAAAGCTTGATTTACAAATGTGTTAAACTGTACATACAAACACTTCCTCACTAGGATATGAGTAACATCCTTACAGTTATCATTCATGCATTCATTCACTTGTGCAAGTATTTAGTTAAATCCATTTTTATATGTAGAATATCAGGGGGAAATGTTTTGCTATCAGTAGCCTAACAATATTAAACATATTCATACAAATACGAGTCCCACACTGAACCAGTTAAATCAGGGACACATGTCATAGAAATTAAATTTAAATTTTTAAATATGCATGGTGTTCTTGCTTCAAAACAAATATTTAAATTTGCAGTATTTTGCTGTTGCAACTTAGGTATTCTAATATCTTAGTGGACAGAAAAAAGTACAAGGCTGAGCTGTAAAAATCTGTGTCATGTGTAATCTCAGTTTTCCTTTATTCATCATTTTAAATGTGTAATTTTGACTTGTTTTGTTATATAGTGGTCATCTGTGTTCAATAGGTCTAGTTTAATTGAAATACCCTGAGAGACATACATAGTACAACCTATCCAACTAATTACACATCAGTGCATACCTGACCCACAGGCAGCAGCTGACCGGAGGGCGGGCATAAAGAGAAGATAATTAAATTTAATGACAGTGGCTTTATTAGGAGACTCATTCCCCTGATGCTGCACAGATGCACCACAGAGACCCGGAGTTGATCTGTGTAATTGTGTCAGTTGAGCTGCATGTCATGTGGGACTGCACAAAGCACACATCTATAAATGTCCTACTGCAGCGACATGACAGATCCCACAATGTCAGCGAGACCACATACAGGGCGACGCCGGCCGGTGACCTGGCTGCTGTCACACAGGCCCGCGTGTCACTCGGCGGGGACAACGACCCAGAAGCTGCAAGGACGTCCTGCCACAGGGACAGGAAGGGCAGCAGTGAGGCAGCACTTTTTACTCTCACTGTCTGATCAAAGGCTAAAGAGTTTTGAAGTCCCAGGGGCTCTATGAGCTATAACTACAAAGACAAATTCAAAAGCAACCAAACTGCGCCCTACTTTGCTCTCTTAATTCAGACATCAATGACTCTGAGGTCAACTACTATCAATCAATACTCTGTCAAACCTACCACCAAACATACGCAGGAACATACGCACCACATGTGGCTTCTACCTGTTGCTGCTCTGAATCAGAAACACATGACCCGAACAGACTGACAGTAAGAATAAAGCATTAACCTGCAGCAATCTGCTATTTCAAGGCAACACTCTGCTATTTGACATCGGCGTCACATCCCAGTCGAACATATTTGCTTTCATACCCCCAAAAAAATGTGCTAATTCCCTCATCACAAGCTAAATCCACTTAAGATATTGTACCAACAAAGGCCAGTCTATATAATGGACCTATATCAAACTAAATACTGTGTTTGCACTCTCGGTTTTTTCTACAGAAACCAGGATGTTATTTTAACCTAATCCAGATTCCTGATCGTTGCCTGTTAGAGCGGGGCGGCTGTGGCTCAGGAGGAGGAGTGGGTGGTCCACTAACGGGAAGGTCAATCCAGATACTGAACACCAAATTTCCTTCAATGAATCATCGGTGTGTGAATGTGTGTGTATATTAGAAAAAGCTCTATATGAATGCATGGGTGAATGTGGCTTCCACTGAGTGGTTGATTAGACTTTATCAGTGAAGTCCATTTACCATTACAGCACACAGGAGCATCAAAAGGAGTGAAACAGTTTCTTTACATCAACTTAATGTAAAGAATTGCTCCTCAACTTGGTGGCAATAAATATTGAACTTCAACTTAAAGAACACAACAGCTAAATATACTGTAACTACTAACAGTCAACCAGGACTTTGGTTTACAGCTGAAATCCATAATAATTGTTTTTTTTATTAATGTGGGGTCACGGATTAAAAAGTAAAAAAAAAAAAAAAAAAAAAGAGTAAAAAATAAAAAATTAAGCAAAATCACAAATTCTCAGGTGACAACTTTTGAGTTACTTGGTTTGTCTGACCAATGGTATAAAACCCAAAATAAGCAGGACATCCTCACATTTGCAAAGCTAGAACCAGATCATTTTAAGATCAATTACTGGGACAACAGTGTGCATGCAAACATATCATCAATTTTAAAATGTCAAGTATCTGTGACGGAAAGCCATTAGAGCCCGTCGTGAAAAGCCTGCATCACTTTCCGATAAGCAGTTAATGCTCATGCTCCGGTGAGGAGGCCGAGACGTGAGCTCTGACGTGTGTCAAAGCAGCGCAGCATTTTTCACATATCGCTGTGGACTAACAGGGCTGGAGGCTGAGCGCGGCAGCTCCTCTGTGTTGACTGGAAGCATTCTCTGAAGGTCTTTGTGACCAGACCAGTGACGCACAGACGAGCTCCCAAGAGGCCGAGCGTGGAATTTGAGTCTAGGGATGGAGGGGGCAAAGGGAGGGGGCAAAGGGAGGGTGGGGGCGGGCGGCGGGGGCAACACTCTCACAAGATTAAACTGCACTAAGGTCTGTACCAGTGACTGTGGTGTAACCAGGCAACATGGTCAAACCCACGTCAGCAACCAAAAACTCACACAGGTGGAGTCACAAAAAAGCACTCGGATTCCTTTCTTTTTCTGCTCCGTTACAGAGTTAATCAAGAGTCACATTAAGTGTTTATGTCAGATATTCCTGTTTAATCATTTTGAGATGCCGTAAACTCCACACACAGTTCTGTTTGAAACACGCTCACATAAATCTCATTCTGAAGATTTACAGACACATAAACATGTCAACAGCTCAAACCATCTAAACAGCCTGAAAGCGCTATTTATCCACATCAGTTTGGTGAGCAGCAAAAATCATTGTTACTGTGCTAATACCATGTGTTCCCCTAAGACAGCTCACTGTTAGACTACTAGGAAGGGTACTGAACTTCAAGCATGTCTGCAGCGTGTTGCACCGCTTCCTAAATGTCAGTATTTGCTGCTTGTCTCTGTTTTATATAATTGTAAATTAAACACCTTTAGGTTTTCAGCTGTTAATGAGACAAATCTGAAAGTGACACCTAAAGCCCTGGGAAACTGTGACGGGCAATTTTCTCTCTCCTTTGACATTTCATAGACTAATTGACGAATTTGATAAACAGATTAGTTGATAATGAAAATCATCATTTGTTGCAGCTATTCTGCACTGGCTCACTGCACAAAACGTGCACTTTCACAAAGGCCTATGTATTTCTCCACTTAAAAAAAAAAAGAAGAAAGTTTTATTTTGTCATTCTTGTATCATATTGACATCTGTGTGGACTCAAAAGCAGCACAAACCAGCACCAGCACCTGCAGCCACAACCACATCAGTGGAGCTTCAGGGCCAAGCTGAGGCTGACACAACAACCAAAGATTAGTAGTCAAGGTTAAAAATCAGACGTACTACAGAGACTTAACCGAGATAACAGACTGCCTTATTCTCGTTGTAACAGTGACACCGAGCAATCTTCCTCTCCTGACCTCACTGCAATGTGCAATGCAGTGAGGTCAGGATGCTTGCTTGTTAATATTGTTGATGTGTAGCATCAGACAGAAGTAAAAAGGCCTTGTACAAAAATAGTAAAAAAAAAAACCCACATTTGACACATTTGAGTATGAGTTTTTGCACTCTGGTTTTTGAACGCTGATTCTATTCCTCATGTAATCACTGATGTTTTTCCTCCTCCAAACATTTAACATGTTTCTCACAGTGTTTCCCTCACAATTTGTTGTGAGAGTTTATATAGTATTCTCTGGTTTGTCCATGCCTTTCCATATGGCATAAACTTTTGATTCCACACTGGTTTTATTTTATCAAAGAAAACTGTAAGCCATATCCCTGTTTGTAAATCTCTCTCTGGTATTCACTGCACTTTAACAACAGCCTTGAGCTTCACAGAAACACATTTCCATGTTACTGAGAAACAGGTCGTTCCCTCCTCTATTCCTCTGTTCTTATACGACCACCTGTCACCTACGTTGCCTCCACACACCTGTTCACCATCCAGTGTATTTACAGGATGTTATTTACTCACAATTTCACATCCTAAATCCCATATGGCAGATGTAACAGACATATCAACTTGATGAACACACATTTTGCTCATCGTGGTGGTGTGCTTGTTTCTTGTTTACATATGTATGTTCGTGGTTTGTGTTAATCGACTGGAGCTCCCAGTTCTCCAGCTGCTGCTGCTGCTGTTGTTTAACCAACACAAAGCTATCATGACATGTTACAGCTGCTCAAAGATCATTCATGCAATCTCTCCGCCGATACTCGATACTCACCTGGCCTCTCTCGGATCCGACACTGGATTTGTTTTTTGTTTTTCAAAGTCGAGCCATGAAATAATCCAGACGGAGCTTCTCTAATTTAAGAAAAAATAACTGTTCTCTAGTTGTGTCGAACGAAAAGTTTCACAACAGCGAAAACACACATTTAACCCTGTTGATGTGAAAGCGCAGAGACACGGAGACAGTCATCTGCTGCTGGCGGCTGCTGAGCTGCTGGGCTGGGACCATGGACTGTGTAAAGAGGCTGGGACTCTCCTGTTTGCAAAAGACAACAGCGCCCTCTGTCGGTAACACTGAACCCTGATTCATCCTCGACAGGCAACAGGCTCCGTTTGTTTAGATAAGTCTTTATGACAGTATTTTTTTTACAGATAACTGAGGCCTAACTTCTCATGTGGGCACCTGTAAATGGAGACTAGTGTTCAAACAGATGATAAGGTAGAAATACGGATGTTTGCTCAAAGCCAGTTTTGCATTCACTGCAGTGATATTTAGGGTGAACACAACTCTACAGCGCTGCTGTTAATGCTGGAGTGACCGGGGAAAGTTTGTCCAAATGTTTGACTGGTACTGTACATTATAAAATGTGGTCAGGAGAGGCATTAAAAAGACACAGATGAACAGTAACCTGACACTGATAGAACCACGCAGAGCCATGAATAATCAGGTCATGTTCTATATCATGTCCTGAATATGGTTAAAACCAGGATAATAGGCTACAGAACTGTGTGCACATGATGATACTAATTTACAGATGATGCTGATGGCAGGGCACAGATCAGAAAACAGAAGCTGAATAGAGTTAAATAATAAAGTATTAGATTATTATCATTGTCATAAGATATTCAAATGACAAAGTCGGACCTCTGGGGGGCGCCAGAGCACAGCACCTCTCTCTAAATCTGGAGATGCAAATATCAATCCTGCTGCTGCTTTACAAACTTGAGATATTAGTTTGAGTGAAAATGTCACAGGTAAAGATGATGCGTCGGTACTGCATCTCATCAGCACGACACAAACTTTACGGAGGCGAGATTGTAAATAGGACCTTGGGCTTGTTTGGAGGTTCTGGCAGCAGCAGGACGGCGCAGCGCCTGGTATATGGATAGATGGTCGTCCGCTGGGAGGGACCCCATCCTCCTCCACCGCGGAGGTTTCATAAAAACAGACATGAAAGAAACATTCTTATAGGATATATCCACATTTATACACAAATACTCGCATACACAGCATATTCACGCATGATAATTACAGGGGTGTTTTATTTAATGACGCCATGGCACAGGGGACAAAAGTCAGGCAACGTCTACAGTATGAAGAAAATACTGCAACAAAACAGGTTTTCTAAACTGCACCGAGGCCGGCAGTTATTCCTCAGCCACCTTCCCAGTGATCCTGTAGGTCTCTGTGGGGCCCTGCTCTCCACATGTCAGCTGCGTGTTTTGGCTTTCCGGCTTCTCCATCATATCTGTTAATAGTGAGCATGACCTTGTTATCTTGTCTCCTGTTCACCAAAAACTATCTCCTCTCATTTGCTCTCACAGAACTGGATGCTAAGTATACAGCAGAAACGTTACAGACCTGCGGGTCGACCGTCTCCCGACTTGTCTCGGTTGTGCTTGTGGGAAGGTGCATACAGGAAGATGATGGTGAAAACATAGAGGTTCCACATGCCGTAGATCCCCGTGAGGAAGGCACTGTGGACCTGGAGAGTGTAGTCTCCCCAGTGCCAGCGACCTTCACTGACCTGGTGAGAAATAACAACATTTGGCATTATTTTAGGAGCTCAGTCTTGTGAAAAATACTAAATAATATAAAACCAGTCATTAAAACTTCCATGTTGATTATTATGGGAATAATACCTACTTGATTTAAGATAAAGAAGATGACAGTCATGGCTGCACATGCTAGAGTTACCAGCATCAGAAACTTGAACCTGAAGATTATACCCTGCCAATACCAGCGAGAGCGGAAAAACAAACCAGAATATTGTTTCATCCATCGTATAAAAGTTTTTTTTTTTTGGTGATAAAGATATTAGATAAAACAAAACAAACCTTGTAGCGCAGCCTCCTCGCCTGTGGCATTGACGGAAGTTGCTGTATTTTCCCACCGATGTTCCTGAACACACAACGCACCATGCAACACAGGGAAAGGAAATACAGGCAAACAGAAATCCCTGCCACAATAATAAAGGTAATCTGTGAGGACGGTCATGGAAAAAAAAAGCCTTGGTGTCACTGAGAGAAGCACATTTAAGGTGTGATCTTAATCTGACTTTTTATAATACAGTGTAAATATTTGAAGGATACTGAAACCTTTGTCCCAATTTCTGATGCCCACACACTGTAGAAAGGGTTGGTCAAATGAACCCCCCTTTAATAGAAATGAAGCACATTAATACTCAGAAAACAACATCCGAGAAACACAAGACCTCGTCAAGAGCAGCTGCATCGTTACCTTTCACTCAGGTCAAATATGAGGAGAACAGATGAGCCGAACACCACGAGTCCAACCTGCCACCAGTACGCTGAGAGACGATTCCTCTGACTTTGGTCCTAAAGGATTTGTTGTCGGAAGAAAACAGCGTTAACTGTCATGAAAGTATGGAGGATGGTACGGTTGAGAACAAGTACGAAACGCTAACCATGAGATGCTCCCCACAGAAGATGATCCAGAAACAGAAGAGCGTGGAGTAGAAGATGCCCTGTTGGACGTCCTCAAACAGCAGCATCCATGTCCACTCAAAGCCCAGGGAGAGCCACTCCACGGGTACATTCAGGAACGTCATAGAGATACCCAGAGCGAAAATCACCCTGAACAGGGCAGATACATGCTATAATGACTTGCTCTTAAAAAGGCAAGTAACATTATTCTGCAGGCAGAGTATTGACCTGGTTCTACCAGGCCAATCATGCACTCAAGATCAAGACTTTTTCATGCCACCCCTGAAGCCTTTCAAACCTCTTAAAAAGTATGATACAAGGTTCGTCTGTGGCTTTAAGCTCTCATGGAGAGACTAAAAGAGAGAAGAGGTGCACTTTAACTTAAGAGTGATGGGGCTGTGTTGCATAACTTCACCCTGCCTTTAAAAAAAGATGACGCTGTGTTCAGTCTGCAATAAAATACAGTATCTAAAGCCTGTACAATTAACTAGGTTTATAAAGTATAAGTGACATTATGAAGTAAGATGTGGCATGAAATAAAATGGTCAGTTGGGAAAATGCTATTATGATGTTTTGATATACATAACATATAATTTATATATATATATAATATTGACAGTTTTGGGTTCTATATGTTTAATACTAAAATCTAGCAATATTCTTGATGTGGCTACACATTACTAGTAATGGTTAAATAAATGCATTCTTCCTTATTGGCTCATACTTTTCCAAAAGGACTGGCGGTCTCGCCATCAGGCTGATTCTGTGCCAGTACCAACCCGTCGCCACAAATATCCAGGGAGTGAACACAGTCTTGATGCTGATCCACACTTTAGTGAAGCCTCCATTCTGATGGATGCCCTTAGAGAAGGGGGACATTAAATGTGATTGTGACACATGCAGGCTCTGGAATTCAATTCAATCAAAGCATATAATGGAAGTAAAAATAGTAGAATTTAACTCACCACTATATGGATGTCCTTTATTTCTCCAATGCCAACATTCACTGTGTCATTCACTGGCAAGCGCAGGTTGATTAAAAAATATTTGTGGGCAACAGTACCCAGCTCCATGAATGGTATGGGGTCACAGTGATAAAAGCGACCTTCGTTGTCATACGTCTGCAGAAGCGTGGACTGTTAGTTACTGAGCAGAGACAAATTTTGATAGAACTTATCTGCATGCATTAAAAGCAGTCATGCAGGTTTACCTTGGGGACTGTAAATACGCATCTGAGGGGCCTTTGCTCCACTGAGCGAAATTTTGCAGTCCACTCAGACATCAGATCATCCCTGTATGCGATGCCAGCATCAATAGTGATGACAACATCATCCTCTACACAGACAGGGACATAATCCAGTTTATCATATATCCACAAGAACTACAGTGGCTTGAAGCCATATTATTCATTTTCCTGACAAAGACAACACATCTTACCAATCTGATTGATCATCTTGAATGCAATGTCAAACTGTAGAACAGTCAGCATATACTGAAACCAGGGGCTCATCTCCATGTTGGGAAGAGGGACATGTACAGCAAAAACAATGTCATTGGCATCCAGTGTTTTTGCCAAAGGCTCATCAAAACTGCGGACCTGCTGGCATCGATTTGATCCCCACGGCACGAGCCAGCCGCGTGCCCTGTGGCGGTTTATACATTTGGTGGCCAAGTAGCGGATGGCACTGGTGGGGCTGGGAGCTACGGCAAATGGGAAATGATCTGTCATAGACAGCTTATTTATTTAGCAGCAATAGGAAAGCTGGTTCAAATAGACTTTTGGTGCACTTTTAACACATAAACCATGCATCACACTTTCTATGAAAAAAACAAACTATTTCTACTTACAATCAATAATAAAGTAATAGAATTTGTGTACTTACCTATTAAAGCTCCAATCATGATGGAAAGAATTTGAAGAACAAAAATAAAAACACCCAAGAAAACCAATTTCTTAGTGCTCATGTTCTCTATGATTGCCCCTGCCATTTTTAAGAGATTGTTTGAAAAAGTAACGCTCGAAACGTCTCTTGGTCCCAGCAGGCTAAGTGCTTCACTGCAGCTTGTCTACCTGCTCGCACAGATCTGACTGTCCTCGGGAAAACATCAGCAATCACTGTCAAACAGAGCGTGTGCAGGAGGAATGGTGGGTGTAACCATTATGTGTTTAGATTTTAAAAAATTTCAAACAATTGTCTATAAAACACAATTCCTTTATTGCTTAAAGAATACAAGTTTGAAGTATGTGTATCACAACTAGGTTACTTGCCTTTACACTGAGGACTGACCACAGTCACAATGCAAATGTTTGATACTGCACCCGTGCAGAGGGGAAATAACAAATTCAGCCTGAATATCAAAGCATCTTACAAAGTCATAGGTTGATAATCCTTAACAGACCTGGAGTCAGCAACAAGAATTACATTAGCACCTACACCTTTAAAATACACTAAGTCTGGGCTGTTAGTCTGTCCTCTGTCTTTGGTTCTATGAGACAAAAATATTCTGTTTCTGAAAGGTGCAGCTAATGAGCAATACTGTGTGTGGTTCAAGGTAGAAGAGTATGCAACATAAAATATTTGACTGAGCTAAAATTAAGCTAAATGTCAATTTATTCCTCTACTTGACAAAAACAATTCCAATATTCACAAGCGCTCAAATCATCCTCTGTTGAACAAATATACCAAGACGGGGTGAAGAAAACCCTTCCTGTAAAAATGACCATCAAACCACAAGAAAGGAGGAATTGACATCTCTGAAATTATTCCAAACCAGTTCTCCTAAACCACCAAAGTGATCCAGTAAAATGGATAACAAAAGTAAGCTATTGAGCGAACACTTGCAGCATTATCACTGAAATTCACCGACAAATCCCAGGCAACGGCTGCCTTCAGGGTGTCCACAACACATCCAGAATTCTACAAATTACTCACAACATAAGATCAAGACAAAATTTAACAGAAGCAATTAGAAAAAAAGGGGGGAGATGAGACTAATCAAAAACTTCATCAACAGCCTCTCAATCCAAATCATTTGCAGGTACTGTTATATGAACGGGTGGCAATCTTCAAATCCCCCTCCATCATTCTCTTCACTGTCCATTCCAAATGTGCATTTCCCATGTTTCACTGATGTATACCAGCTGTGAAACACGCATCACGTCTCTGCCTATGACAGTACTGGGAGATTTGTGTGCCAACACTGTCCCAGGAAGGGAGTTGGACAAGTTGAACGGCGTCCTGGGATCACATGTCATCCTCTTCGTCTTCATCCTGAGAGGAACCGGCCTGCTGGGCGGCGCTGGCAGATGCTGCCGCCATCTGTGCCTGCTGGGCGGCCTGCTGCATCTGCAACCACTCCTGCTGGGCAAGCTCTGCCTGCTGCTGCCGTGCCTGCAGTTACAGTCAAACCAAAACAGGGACATAGGACAAGAGAAGTCAAATGAAGAGCTTTTTTAGGCAATTAAAAAGGATCCTGGTGGAGATATCTGATGTTTGATTAGAACTTTTTTGATTCATGAAGATATTATGCCATTATTCTAACAGCCATGAGAAAAAAACATGAGGGTTTTATGCAATACATTACTGAGGCAGGTGTGGCATACCATAGAGGACATGCTAAAAGGTTAGTGTTGAACATTAATAACCATCATCATCATAATAATTAGAATAGTTGTCTTAATAACTATGGCCAAGTTGCCGTTCCAATTCTCCACACACTGTGTTATCTAAGTTTTCTATAAAAATATGAAAGTGAAAGCATGTCACAATTCAGCAAACAGATACAGCATATGACTGAGTCCACCTATTTAACATCTATCTTCATGTATTACACTACAGTTCCAGCACAACACTTGGTCAGACCGTATTTTTGTTTTATTTCATCTTTTTTTCATTATACCATCATGAGTTATTCATTGACCTCTTTATTCTATTGGAGTACCTTTCACTTATTGATCATACATCTGCATGTTTAAATGTCTGCTTCCTCCCCTGTTTGTACACAAAACTTTAACCTACTATATAAACTTTTTTATCTAGTTGTGTAGAAGGGGTGATCAAACAAAAAAGTGTTTCAAATACTCCCAATGGAAAAACTCATATTAAAGCATGTTTTTACCCCTTGAATTACACAGACACCAATATTGCAATCTTACAATACACCACATATAGCTACCACCCAATTATCCTTTATGTTTGTTATTGTGGGTACTGAAACTATCATACTAGATTAAACCATACAGTGATCCCCAGTTCCTGAACATGAGATGTACAGTAACTTCAATACATGAAGAACTGCAGACTTGTGTGTAACTTGTATTTTTTTTATAAACATACCTTGGCAAATAATTCCTGTTGTTGTCTGAGGAGCTCTTCCTCTGGGATGCCCAGGTTCTCAAGTCGAGAGCTGGCCTTCCTCCTTTTCAGAGCCACAGTTTTACACTCCTGCAGGACGTCTTTCACCTCGGTGATGTATGATGCGAAACCGAGGCTTTCAAGGGCTGTGGTGTGAAAACAAGAGATGAAAGCGAAAAAATTACTCCATGTGGTTTAAGACTCTTGGCGTGGAGTCGGACACACCCCCTCCTCTCACAACTCAGTGCATTAGCTGTTGTGCAAACTTGGACCAGGACTCACCGTTGATGACATGCTCAGGAGATATGGTTTTCTTGTCTGACTTGTTGCATATTTCATTGGCTTCCGAAGATATGAGGTGTATGAACTCTGTGCAACAGTTAACCACGAGCTCCCTGGCGTCGTTAGCCACTCGTACGTTAGGGAGAGTTTCTTTAATCATCTTGTTGATAGCTGCCCTGGGGATCGTGAGGTCGTCGTCGTTTCCAGAGGAAGAAGCCATCGTGGCAGGAAAAATGATCACAAACCAGATAAATGAAAACTCCGATCCTTGGCTGAGTGGTGGCAAAAGTTAGCACACGTTGACACCCTAACCCTTAATGAAGATAACGGGGTCAATACAACGTAAACACCGACTTAAATGTCATCAAGCCAAGAGACGTTTCCTCAAAGTTAGCCGGCTGCCTAGCTTGCCAACTAAGCTAACAGCTAAGTTTATTCGTTAAAGCGGACTTAGTGGAGTTTCTACACAGTGTTGCTTCTAAACGGAATGAGACCAATAATGAAATATCCGAGAAACGTTAAAGCACAAATAAGAAAACACAAAAACGACGTTGATACTAGAGAAAATGCTTAGCTAGCTAGCTAACAAGCTAGCTAGTAGCCGTGGTCCCTGTCGCAAGCAAGCCGCAACCCAGAAGACAAGTGAAAGCGAAGTCTGAGAGCATGGCTAAAGCTAGGCTAACAATGAACTGTCCCTGCCATATGTAGCTAAATAGTTGGCTAGAAAGAGACGACGAGTAGAATAAAGTTGATACAACACAGCGAGTAATTCGTCCTTTCATCCACCAAATATGCCAAACATGTCAAACAATCTTAAAGCTACTAGCAATTCATTTATAATTTTGTATTCTGGACAATGTTAGCTTAGATTTGTCCGGATACAACGTCAAACAAAGAGCCGGATACGGGGTGTCACCAAGAGGTGTTCGAAGTCGCCTAGTTAGCGCTTACTGCCACCTACTGTCCACATAGAGAACTACACCTTTATATTCCTTTTTATTCTATTGTATTCTATTTAATTGTGCATTATTTTCTGCCTGCACATTAAAAGCTTTGTTTTCTTTTAAATAGAAATGTTCCTTAGTAAATGTCTATGAGGTGTGGGGCTCAAATCAAACAACTAAATCCCAGATTAGACTATGTGTAAATGATCCATAATCCACTGTCATAACACAATATGTCTCTGGTCAGCATGGTAATTAATATCTTTAAAAGGTTGCTTTTAAATGTTTACAGTGTCTTTTGAAATACATATAACTCCTCAATAAGGTATTTTAATCAATTTAACTATCTAAATGCTTCATCTGACCTTGCTGTTGCCCTTGAAATTCTTTTGCTTACTACTCACATATTGTATAATATGGGGCTTGGAGGCTTAACGAGTTAAGACAGTTATGGTAGTCAGTTGAATGTTTAAAACCCGCAGCAGGAGCTTACAGACACATATGTGAAAAGAGATTACATAGTCACCGTTAGTTGTTGCTTTGCAGTTTTTTAAATGTGTTTCAGCATTTCATCACAAAGAAGTCTTACAGCTGAAAATAAAGTAAAGGAAAATTACAGGAAACCATGCATGGATGAATGTATCTCACAAAAATAAGAAGGATGAGACATGGACTCTCTGTTAGTCTTTGTTCTTGTCCTTTTCCAAGGTAAAACTTTTCCGACTTCTCCAGCGCAGAAGTTTGAGGAAGTTCAGACTGGCGTTGAAGACTTTGTCATGTTCAAACACCATTTTGTAAAACGTGTCGATTGGGAGGTCGCCATTGGGGTCAGCGTATTTGAGTGTGGTCATAGGTGTGTAAAGAGTGTTGGTCTGATGACGAAAAGGCGGATTCTCCATGGTGATGATCTTGAATGTGTGCTAGGAGAAAAAACACACAACAAACGTAAAACAGAGGTATAGAATATGCTCACTAATTTATGTCAGTTGCAGTGTAGTAAAGACAAAATAATATATGATGGCTGGATTTTGTTTGTAGATGAACAGTACCTCTGCTACATCGTCTGCAGACTGCCCAAGGGTTTCAAAGATTTGTTTGTAGTTCTTCAAGTAAATGTTTGTGAACATGTCAGCAGTCACTTTGTCAGCTTTGCTGAGATCTGTTTTCAAGCCCTCATCATAGACCTTACGCTCAAACTCTGTTATCACTGGACCTGGCTCTATCAGGCTGATACTGAGGAAAGAAGAAAAAGAATGTCAGTGCAAACATAATCATATCGTCCCAATAAGAAACTGAAGGGCAGCAGGCTGAATGCTTCAGAGCTAATATTATTTTTAATACACTGTAATTGAACATTTTGTGTTAAGTAAATGCCCCAGTTCATCAGTTCCTATTTGAAACCACCCTGCAGAGCTCTTCACTTTGACATTTGGTTACTGAATGATGCTGTGTTTGGACTTGCCCCAAACCAGGGTGTGCTGTGGTTAGACGTGACATATTTTGCCTGGAATATTTTCCTCTCACTGGTGAGACAATGGATAATGGTGGCTCTTGTTGTGCAATAAGAGTGTGCAGATGCTTCAGACATGGACAAGTGTTGGTTTGCAGGCATTTTCATGGTTTTGTGAGCACAATATGGTTCTCACTGAGAAACTAGAACACAATGAAGTAGCAAGTGTCTGTGTTCTGCAGTAGCAGTATAAAATAATCTGTATCTTACTTGAGATTAAATCTCAGGGCTTGTACTGCCAAGCTTTCACAAAAGCCTTCCACTGCAAACTTCGAGGCTGCATAGATGTCATTGAATAGAATTCCTAAAGCAGAGAAAGAAACAGTTAGGAGATTGTTTTGTCACTATGAATAAGTGCTCTAATGATACACAGGGGGAACTATCCTTACCCTGAATACCCATGACACTGCTAATGACCACAATATGGCCTTTTTTCCTCCTCTTCATGTCAGGAAGGATTTCCTTCAGCAACCGCACGAGCCCAAAGAAGTTGGTATCCATGACAGACCTCATCTCATCAATTGACTGACACTCGATTGGTCCAATCATACCCATCCCAGCATTACTTACTGTGAGAGGAAGCCAAGCATGGAAAGAAATGTCATCAAGGTATGTACAGCACAGTTGCAATGTATTGGAAAAATGTGCGTAGACGCAAAGCAATACTCATTAAAGGCTGCGGTTGAAGAACGAATAGTTTTTCTGAACGCACTGAACCAAATGATGCGGACGTACTGAGAATGTCCACCCTGCGCTCAGGCAGGCTGTCCACACAGGCTTTGATGGAGTCCTCGTTACATACGTCCAGCTGTTTGATCTCCATGGTCCTGCCCAGAGTCCGACCTGCTGCCTCAACCAGCGCCTCACCCTTACTCAGGTTCCTCATGGTGGCGTAGACTATGACAAACAAAATTAATTTGAGGCAGTGATTTTGTTTACCACTTAGATGCAGAGGCGCTGGTGAAATGAAAGTCTACCAAAGTACATCAGACACTGATTCTTAAATAGCAAGTCCGCCATTACAAATTTATAACACATTTTTCTAACTTACCCGTCATGGTATGTCTGCTGCCACACCAATACAATGGACATGATAGAATTCAGTTTTTAAAGTTCAAAGCACTGAAAAATGACAAAACCTTTTTCCAGAAACAATGTCCCACAGACCTCAGGACTATTTCTTTCATAGGAAGTAGTCCCATTGAAGAACTGTTGACAGTGTGGTGTGTGGATTATCCAAAGTGATTAGGACATCATTTCTGGAAAGAGGTGTTACTGGTGCCAGCACAAGTTTCACGCATGAAAAACCAAACCAAAAAATTCTGCAAAATACCTTTCCTTTTGTGATTTGGATAAACTGACCCTTGAACACACCAGCCATTCTTCTCTTAAATGTTCTTTACTTATTTAAGGTGGAAATGTGTGCAGTACAAAAGCATAGTGTTCAAGAGCAATACATTTTGCTGTCACATTACTGCTGACTAATAGTCTTATTAAAGTCACTTGTTTACCCACCATCTTTATTTTTGATCAAAGTTTTGGTTAAACAAGGGACTGCACAGAAATTATTGGGGTGTGGATGGCAGCTGAACCCTATGGTCCGCTTTTTTAAAAGGACCTCCCCAACTTTACTGAAATTGCCAACAGAACCCAACTTTGACTTAGAAAACACAAAACACTGTAACAGCCTCCCCTAATATCTCAAAATAATATAACAGCAGTTGATCCAACTTGTTGAATAATAACTTTATCTGTACTAAAGATAAAGAATTGAAAATGGTGTATTATTTGAATCTGAACATGTAAATGGAACAATAATTTTCCATCATATCCAACCCTCCCTAACCCTAAACCATTGGAAATTATGGCTAACAAAGAGCGCACCCAAATACTACAGCCACTCTATTTTTAAACCAAGAGCAACTAAGTTATTACCATCAGTGACTAAATGAATAGGTTCAGGCAGCAGCTCTGTGTTCAAGGAAAGGCTGAAATCTTGTGTGAGAAAATGTTAAAAGACCCCATCATATCCTTCTAAAAACTTCTTCAATAAAAAGAAAACCTATATTGCAAACTCTCCCCGTTTGACCTCCCCTCTCTCCACAATCTAATACTTGTGCCACACCGACACCTTAAAATGCAATTTTTCTTTCTTTTCATTCGACTTTTGCTCCTCCCTCTATTTTCACACCAGTTACACAGTTTCAGTAATGGATTGTCAACCACAGCAAGTTTCAACAAAGCCTTTTAAAAACGTGGCAAATTTACCCATGAACCTCTTCTTCTCATCTTTTGCGATGCGGGTAGCCAAGGCAAGGCCAATCCCAGAGGAGCAGCCTGTGATGAGTACCACCTTCTGGTTCATTGTGCCTGGTTATAGTGTTTGTCTTGCAGATCCAGCGGCAGAGAATGAAAGAGGACAAAAGAGGAGCAGTAATAGGTGACACGAAGGCACTTTTAAAGCCCACTCCTTAATCCACAGGTCTGCAACTCAGCAGAAGCCTTGTGCACATGGCCTGGAGATTACCATCAAGCATGGCCAACACACGGTGCTGATGAGCAGTGAGGATTTAGGATAATCATAACAAGTTTATTGTGGCAGTGAGTCGTGAGATCTGAAAAACATAGTCAAAGACTCGATGGCAAAAGCTGCATGTTCTGGTTTGAATGAAAACCAATGCAATCAGAAAAAGACCACTTTCAAAAAAGGTGATGCTTTATTTAAAATTCAGCATTTCTTTATCTAAATTCATCTTGGCAATCGAGGCTGTGAAAGGTACGTTTTAAGTAAAAATATACATTATTTTCGTCACAAAGAAATTTGTGTTGTTTAAAATTCCAGCACCTCATATGAAACATAAGGCATCAGGTTTTTTTTCAACTGGATCGTAAACACTTTACAATTTATTGTTTTAATGCACATGAAAGAAGGAAAACAAGCTGCAAAGAAAAATCCCAGAAACTTTTCCAGCAAAGGTTCGATTTAATATATTTAAAATTCTGTGAGGGTGGAATAATAAGATCCTGTCTGTGTTCTTATATGACAGTGTGAATGTTATTTCAGACTTTGCCGTGTAATTTCAAATACAGCCTTTGAGATGCTAATTACACCTGTTTTGCAAAATGGGATGACAAATCTTCTAAAGCTCCGTGTATCTCCAAGCTGCCGTCCACCCACACAGAACTTTGAAATTCCAAACCCACCATGAGGATTCAATCTTTTCTGATGTTGTGCCAAAGCTACTGCTTTGTGGTTTTCTACTAATGCTTCTTGATACGGTCCTGTATGCGCTGCAGAACATCTTTGTCCCACATCTTGGGGTCCCAGGCGTGGAACCAGCCGGTGAAGGAGAATGGCTCCTCCCCCTGCTTAATGGTGGTGATGGGGGTACCACGACGGCCAGAGGGGTCAGAATTCACATACTCTTGGGCTGAAAAGGAAAACAAGGATACATTTGTGAACTAGTACTCTTCTGTAATTTCTCCCCATCTCTAATAGCTGTGCTTTTCTTACCAATCTTGAGAGATCCACTTTTCTCAGTCTCATTGGCCTCCGTTCCGACCCAAACGAAGATCTGGTGGGAAAGCAATAATCAAACAGCATTTTAGGAATAAGTCAGCAATAAATGAAAACTGAAACTGATCTATTTCATCAAAAGTGAAGACACCATACCTGATCCCAGGTGTCCAAAACCATGACATCATCGATTGCCAGATCCATCTGTGTGAAATCACCTGGCACCTCCTCTGCCTAAAAATTGAGCAGTACACATTTACAAAGTGGCTGTATTAAAAAAAAAAAAAAAAGCCAAAAAATGAATTCTTAATAAATCAAAATAGATAAAAAATTAAATACTTACTATCAGCCTGCCAGTCTTGTTGGAGCAGCCAAACAGTCGAGGAGGCCTAACTGTTTTCTGCAGGGTCCTGGAGGTCTGGTAGTCCTTCTTCCCACCAAGCGCAGCCCAGAAATCAGCTGACGATGAGGAGAAAATGACAGTTTTCCAAAGGAACTATTGTATTGTTATCCCGCAGAGATTAAAAGCTCTACTTTCAGCACTCACCCGGCTCCTTTGTCTCCTCCACCTCAGTGGCAGTTCCTCCCAATAGGCGGGCAACATGCTTAGCTGCTGCCATCTCCCCTGGATTTGCTCCCTTCCCCATCCACAGGATCAGGGACTTGGGTGACTTCAGCACGAAAATATCATTAGTGTTCAGAGAGGAGGCGGTGGGCTCCACCTGGGTCAATGAGAAACAAAGGGAGGGTGAAATGGTGTAAATTGTTCATTATTAGGTGTTGTTAAGCTTATGCTCATTCAATGTGGTAAGCGACGCTGACCTCAACAGCCCGTGTGGCTTTGGTGGAGCTCTGGCGGATATGGAAGAGCCGTGTAGTGGCAGGCTTGCTCTCACCGCCATGGCGGCATGTCCCACCCAGGTGGATGACCAAAGGTTTGTCCTTGAACAGGCTCACAAGATGAGCGGGTTCTTGGCCCTGAGTGACACGAACCTGCAGAGACACGGCAGTAGCTCAACCTATATGTCTGACGAAGACGGGGGTGATAGCAGTTATGCTAGAATGGCAGGCGTAAGCCACTGAAGGAATAATTTAACAGTTTGGAGAATGCTTATTCCCTTTCTTGCTGAGAGTAGGTAAAAGATTGATGGTAACATGGCAACATTAACAACACTAAATTATCACCTGTCTAGTTGCTTCCTCATTTCCTGTTTTTATGCTAAGCTAACCAGCCGCTGGCAGTAGCTTCATTTTTAACAGTCAATTATAAGAGTCATCAACTCTTGCCAAGTATTTCTCAAAATGTTGAACTATTCTGGAAGAAAGAAAAAACCAAGTTTTTTTTTTTTTTTCACTGTACGAAATATCTTACCTGTGTAGCTACTCCACCCATGGAATCGTCCAGCTTGACGGTGAGAAAGGCCGAAGCAGTCAGCTCATCCTGAGTGCACTTCTGCCCCTGCCTAAAGACAGCAAAGCCACATCCGTTACTCATTCCAGCTTCACACTAAATTAATTGTGATATTCACAAGAAAGTATGTGAAAGGCAACTTTCTTTGTAATACAAAATCTGTAGGAACAAACAATATACCCAGATGTTTTTGTGTGGCCAGATGTTAATTTTAAGCCATGCTACCAGCATCTATTTGATAAGAAAAAAAGCATTCCCATCGGCCTCAGTAGCACTTTATGTTAAGTGTTAATAGGAAAATATTGGCATACTAACATGCTACACCAAGACTACGACCATGGTAAACACTATGCAAGAAATTAGCATGCTGGTGTGTTAGCATTTAGCTCAACTGTGCCTAAGTATAGCCTCACGGAGCCACTAGCATGTCTGTAGACTAGTCTTCATGGGATCCAGAAACCAATATTTCTCAGATGTTATTAGGGTTCAAGACATCCGGCCATCCAGATATCTTGTCTGACTACAGCTAAACTATTTACTTCCTCTATTAGTATTCCTGTCGTATTACTTAATATTGTGAACCTGTCTTGTAGATGGTGTCTGTGTCCTAATCTAGTTTTGAGACCTTTATCATTTTAGTTTAGATTGTGCTCACATGGTGCACATTCCTGAATAAAGGGGGTCTAATGGGTAAATCCAACCATGCTGAAAAGGGTGCACCCACCAGGTGTAGATGATATGCTTCTCTCTGCCTCCTGTGTTGTACGAGTATAGCACCAGGTAACAGTCGCCTCCAAAGAACTGTCCATAAGTGGATGGGTCCACAGGTTCTTTGTCACCTCCTTCCACACGCCAAATCTACAAACACCCACAGCTGTCACATCTATATTGACATTTTGAAGAGGTGAATATAAAGCATGAGTGCACCTGGGCTAGTGAACATACCTGGACTTTCCCGGAGCCATCGTCCACCATGCCATGCTGGGCAGCCATGATCTTGTTGCTGTGGAGCGTGGAGGAATCGAAGGGAATCTGCTCCACCTGGGCGATGCGACCGATGGTGTAGGCCTTGCTTGGGCCTGTAGTCTCATCCTTGTCCAGCCAGTTGAAGAAGAACTGCTTAAACAGGGTGGTCTCACCCCCTGCTGGCATGACCTGGATCTGTACATGTCGGAAACAAACAGAAGTGTGCGTGCATATTCATAAACAGCAAGACAAGGACGGATGAAGTTCTGGTAGTAGACTTTGACTACATGGCCACATTACCTGAGTATTTTTGGGGTAGTTCTTGTCTTTAATGAACTTGTTTGCAGCAGTCAAAGCTGCTCTGCGCTCATCAGCATTTGCATCCTTTCCTGCAATTTGGGGTGTGGTACAGTGGTTAGAGACTCTCTAAACAAACATCTATGAATGACTCATTTGTTCTCAGTTGGAGAGGAACCACAGAGTGCAGACTAAGAGCTTGTTGCTATGATAAAACTGAACAATGATAAATACACCAGATAGAGTGTATCCAATGAACAAAAAGGTTGCAGAATTGAACAGATGTGCATGTCTCATACCTTTCCAGACAAATATCTTATTGTCTCCTTCATTGTCCAAGATGTAGCAGTCGCTGCTGGAGAGCATGTCTTGTTTGAACGGGGTTTTATCAGCCACCATAGTTGTCTTCATGGAGCCAGCGGCATCAGAAATCTAGAAAGAAAAGGGATAAACAAAGCATCATCTAAAGTAAACTTTACTCACAGGAGTTCATTTAAAGGGCTGATTATATTTGTGTGTATTTACCAAATGGAGAGATGCCTGGCCCTTGTTCTTCTTATCAACAGACACATCATCTGCGCTTCCTGGTGGGAGGTTGGGCATAGCTCCAAGCACCTATAAATAAACAAACCCCACATTAGCTACATCCTTCCCAGCAGGCAAATGAGCCACCAGATAAATTCTTTGACACAGCCACAGTCACAAATATTTCCAGAGGTTTCCTAAACAAAACTGTTTTTAAAAGTAAAAAAAAAAAAGCTCACTTTAATGACATCTTCCGGCTCAGAGCCTTCTTCAATCATGTGTACTTCAGCACGGCCTTTTCGCTCATTGTCGCGGATATCTAAGGCCAGCTCAGTGGTTTTCAGGCGCTCAAAGCGATTGCTTTCACTGCCAGACCAGTGGTAGATGTCCTAGGATTTCACAGTGAGCAGCAGAGGAAAACAAGATTAGTTATGGTGAACCGCTGTCTAACATATTTTGGGTATCCGGTCCTAATTCTGGATCACCTTTCCCAAGTCGATGATGAAGCAGTCTCCTTTGTTGAAGCTGGTCCAGGACAAATCCACCTCTGTGGCTCTGATCAGCCGGCGACCTTTAACGTGCAACAGGCGCTTGACATTTACGTCGTTGGTCACCACATGCTGGAAGCCCGAAGCTATTCCCCCTTTCTGTGACAAAGTCAAGTTGAACAAAGCATTAGAACTATTTGAATAAAAG